ACATAATTCGCCATATTAAAGATTTTAGTTCAAAATCAACTTTAGAAAATATATAATTAACTAAAGTTTTAGTTAAGAATAACGTTATGCAACTAAAGATAGAAATTTGAAATCCAAACAAATATAACATAGTATTTCTTTAACTTTTCATACCATTTAATTATAATTTGGTAAGATTAAAAAAAGTATCAACAAATATAGTATGAATACATTTTTCAAAAAATAATAAGAAATAATATAATTGTAGATCGAGATTCGAGTATTATTAAGTATGAAATTAAGTGAAATTAGATTGTTAATATTGTATGTTATTACATATTTATAAATACTCAAATTATATAAGATTGAAAGTTGATGTAGAATATATGAGCTTATTACTTCGAATAAGTTTGGTTTGGAATTTTTAAAGTAAGTTTGACCTTACCTCATAAGTTACTCTACTTAGCATTTCAAATAATTCTATCGATTTTTTTTTTTAGTATGCATTTTTTTATAAAATAGTAAGATTGCCATAGGAAGTCTACCAACAACATTTACGCTTTTTTAAATCGATTTAGCCTTTTCAATTATTTTTGATAGATTTGTTTTGTTTAATATGTACTCAATTACATTTTATATTTTACATGTGAGATATTTAGAGCTATTTTATAAAGTTACCTGCTCTATTTAATCAAGTATCCATTAACTTTTTGTTCTCAAACTAACTTCAGAACACCATTTTAATTACATCAAAATATTTTTGTATTTTATTTTAGTTAATATGGAATCAAATGCATTCCATCTTTTAATATTTGGATCAATTTTAAAAAGATATCATCATATTTTACATATTGGATTCGTAGATCAATTTTAAAAAGATTTCTATTCCAAATCTATAAATATCCATGAATTTTATTTTTCAAACCCATTTGAAAATGGTGTATTAATAATTTTGAAAATATTTTTGTATTCTACTTTGATTAATATGGAATTAAATACATTCCATATTTTACAAATTTTGTAGCTATATAAAAAAAAATCTGTGCTCTAATTTTACAAAGGTTTGTGCACAATTTTTTTCAACATGAACGCATCTCTTTTAAAATTAAAAAAAAATATAGTTGTACAAGATTGATATCTTTAAAATTGTTTGTAAACAAACCTTATTAACATATAGATTAATTTGAGCCCATTACAATATCAAGGTAAACTGTCTTGAATTTCCTAATAATAACTCAACATTAAAGAAATTAAAATTAGACATAGTAATTTAAAATTTATACGGTCTTATTAATAGGTATCAATATTTTTTAGAAAGCACATCTTGGTTCAAAATTTAAAACTGTATAGGATGTACTTGCATTTTTTCTTTAATAATTTTTCGAAACAAACCTTATCAACAACCTATGACCAATATTTTATTAATATAAATATCTAAAAAATTGGAAGAATAAAAAATATCACATAAATAAAATTTTGATGCAAAAATAATAGTCAAACTTTCAAATTCGACCATAAAAGTAAATAACAATATATTTAAAAAATCGTACTATTTTTACCAGTTCAACCGAACACCAAAACCGACTGGTGTTGACCGGTTTACAAGCAAATATTTTATTTAAGTTAATCGGACTGAACAATAAACCGATTGTCGGTCTATTCAGTCGGATGTTCGGTCCAGTCCTGTTTTGAAAACAATAGGTGTATTATAATTAATGTTATTTATATAT